TCTTTCTTCCCCTCTTCAAGCTTCCTTGGTTGGCAATCAGGGCTAAGCTTCCGAAAGAGAACCCCTTGAAATAAAGAGGCTTCCACCTCCTCAAAGGGCAGGACAGCCAGTGATTTCTCCCACTTTTCTCTGGGCTCCCACAGCCCTGGGTGAGTTGGAAAGATGGGAGTAAGGGCCTTGGCTCGTTCTACTACAGGCATGATCACAGTTGGCAAATACCAGCTCTTGGTTTGATCACTACAGGTGTATTAGTTTCTTTCATCAGCCTTTAGTTTCCTGAGGCAGACACTGCTCCAACCGGGAACCCAGTCAGGAAGCCCCAAAGTTGCACTTAGCCTTCATTAGGGTCCCTGCTCTGTTTATTCAAGCAGGGAGAGTTTAGAGCGGCTCGAACATAGCTTGTAATTTGTACCATCTATCTCTTTCTGGCTTTTGGGCCTCTGGCAAATTGCATGTCGTAGTGTTGGATTAGTTTAGAATTTAATCATGCATTATTTTCCCTTCAATTAAATTATTTATATATTTGATTAACGTGGTCATTGTTACGAAGCCAAATTTTCAGTGAAACTACAAATATACTCCTGACCATTAAGTTTCAGGCCGGCTTCACATGGAGTCTCTCTGTTCAATGTCAAGGCTTTTCCTCGTATGTTACTCTTAGTGACTTTGGATTTTGGTGAGAAATGGGTGCACTTTTGACCCAAACCTGGGAAAATTATGTGTATAGTGAAGGGTTTGTGGCCCAACCCTCTCCCTTTCTTAGACTCTGTTTTTCTTCTAGGATCCTTGCTTCTATTCCTTACTAGATTCTTTTCTTTCTTTTGTTCTAAAATCTACCCCCTTCTCATTATACCTCTTCAGCTAAGAGCTAACCTAATGAATGTTAGTGCAAGAAGGAAGCCACTGAGGTCTTGTTTGGGAAGCAAATGGCGTGGACACAGGCCACGTCCATTCCTCTGCTTGTTTTTGTGCAGCCCTTGAACTGAGCCATCAGCTAAGAATCATTTTTATGGTTTTAATAATTGAAAAGAAAATATTAAGAAATGTTTCTTGACCTGTGAGAATTTTCTGCATCCCTAAGTCAACCGCTCACTTACTCAACTTGCATAAGGTCTGCAGCTGTTGACAGAGGTGTTTCAACCACAAAACCTGAATATTTACTGCCTGGTTTTGTGTAGGAAAAGTTTGTTCATCCCCGATCTAGTTTGTTGGTGAGAAAATCGAGACCCAAATTAATAAATGATCCTGTCCAAGGTACACAGCCCACAAAAAATTGGCCTATGATGTCTACTAAGGCCACTAGTGGCTGTCCCCTTCTGAGCCCTGTGGTAAGCTTTAGTTGCAGAGACCAGTACCATTTTTTTTGTTTTGTTTTAAATATTTCTTATTTTTTAATTTGATTTTTATAGTTATATGTATGAGTGTATTGCCTGCCAAGTATATAAGTGCACCCATGTTGTGCAGTGCCTACAGAGATCAGAAGAGGGCATCGGATCCCCTGGAACTGGAGTTTCAGAGGGTTGTCAGCCACCATGTGGGTGCTAAGAATCAAACTCAGGTTCTCTGCAAGAACAGCCAGTGCTCTTAACTGCTGAGCCCTGTTTTATTTTGTCTTTAAGGAAAGTAAATATTTAGAACTTAGGAGCATGTGAATATTATGTATTTCTTAGAACTTTAATTTATCTTGATGCCTAGATCTTAGAAACCTTTTAAGCTTTAAGCACATTTAAAGTATCTTTTTATTTCCTTCTAATAACTGATTACATCTGAGCAGCATTTGTTCTCTGCCTTCCTAGATCATTGATTTTCCTTTACTGAAAATAACTTACAGATGCACCAAATGAACAGAAGAGAAAAGAAAAAAAAGACGTATGGCTTCTAAGTTTAAATTTAAGAGCAGTTTCAATAAATTGCAGAAACATTTATTGAGACTTGGGGCTACTCTTAAAAGGAACAGAAAGGGAAAATCCCATTAAGCTAGCCTTGCTGAATGAAAAGTTGCTTTAACTGTCCAACACAAATTCTTCCTTGCTTCTCCCCACATAGAGACAACACTGGGGTTCTGCCTGCTGATCAGTTTGGCATGCCCCTCTGATTAAATCCCCACACAAGCCATAGAGATGAAGCTTAATGAGGTATAAACATGAAAATATTTGATGTGACTGTTCTGCCTAGTTTGTTGGCAGTTCTTCCTTCCTGCTTGGAAGCAGACCCTTCAGCACCACTACAGGCGTATTCTTCAGCTTCCTGGCCATTTTCAGTAGCTAGTGTCCAGTTTAGACACCCCCAGTCCAAAGCCTTCCCCTCCCAGTACCTGGCAAGGGATGTGGCTCAAAGAAGCCACAAGTCTATTTTCCTTCCTCCTCCTCATGTGAAAGAGCCAGGACCCGGGTTGCCCCAGGAGACTTCCTACTTGTCCCTGTAGAGTCTAGCTCCTCTCGTGTGTCAGAGGAGGGAAGATGAGTTCTTACTTCACTGACTGCTCCTGGAACCTCCCACTATTGCTCCTGCAGCTCCCCATCCCTCCAGGTCATCTTCTTTGGAGACAAAGATGCAGGGGCTGGGTTCTGCTCAGGTGTATCCCCCATGTCCTCATTACAAGAGACCTGACAAGGGGAAAGCTGATGCTTCCTCATCATGCCAGGCAGTAGCAATGGGCCCCTAGCCTGCTCTATCCACCTGGCCAGGTCCTTTTACCGCATGCAGGAATCACCCTAATATTCAAAGGCACCAAGATGTGTCATTCTGTGTCATCTGGCTGCAATAGTCCCCACTTCTCTCCACTCTCAGGCTGACCTGCATATCTAGTAGGGCTTCATGCAGCTTTCAGTCCTCCTTTCGGTGCAACTTCATTTGAGAAGCTGATCCCTGAGTCCTGATGTGCCACAGTAATCTAGGACCCCTGTTATGTGTATTTATGAAACCCTTTATTTCCCTTCACACCATTTATCACAGCTATAATTACACAGTAATCTAAGTCATTATCTGTTTTCCTCCAGCAGACTGTAATTTCCTTAGAGCAAGAATTGTGTCTGTTTTACTCCTGAGCCCCAGGCCCATGCAGGAGGCACTCCATACATCCTCCTGAAGGCTCGAGAACAGAGAATCGGCGCCATCAGTACAGGCCTTACCCCCACCCCCACCCCTGGGAAGAGGGGTCATATCTGCTATCTCGAAAAACTTTTTGAATTCTGAAGAGTATTTTACTTTAAAAGTAATGAAATGCCGTGCATTAAGTTCTTATCGTTTGGCTACCAGGTGAGGCGAAGTTGTGTTAAGATGAGCAAATGAACGCTCTAATGTCTTTCTGGTAACATTTCCTCTGCTGCATGAGTCAGATCAACCAATAACGTCATATACCTGCCAAGGGCCAGGGTGCTGTGACTGAGACTACAAAACCCGTACAAGGACCCAATTCATTTATTCTCAATAACTGGGAACGATAAGCTAAAACAATAGTAATTTTATGGGGTGCTCCTGTGTGGGGTGCTCCTGTGTGCTCATGTATCTTTTTTTTCCTCTCACAGAAACTTGAGTATGTGACTTTCTTACAAAGTTTGTCCTTTAGGTCACATTTCAGATAGTTCAGGGCAATGTGCAGGGACACAAAGATTGACTTGGGGCATACGTTGCGCTTATCCTGTCTGCATGCCTGTTCTGTTTATGGACTGCACTTACCATCGTAATGATTAAGAAATGCTGATCCCTAGACCAGCTGGCTGGTGGTAGTAAGCCCTGTAGAAGAGTGCGTCTGCTGTGCTACTTGCCATTTGCGGTGTCCATGGGACAGGGCTGTGTCCGTGTGTGCTGTGGCTTGCTGCTCACTGTTTTCTGTTCATTGTCCAGCAAGCATTGTGGTTGTTGCCCAAGGAGAGGAGAGTAGCAGCTTCTTTTCTCTGCCCTTGCCCAGCTTTAAGCTCCAGAAATAACACAGAAAACTTATTTTTTCATGCAAATATTTTTTCCTATAGCAGCTGGCCACCTAGTGGCGTAATCAGGAAAAGCCTGTTCTGCTGGCAGAATTGTACTATTAGGCATTATTTTGGAGCTGGAGCATTCACGGGTACATAATCAAATGTTTCACTACTACAACACAGAACTGAGGGGAGCTTTAATTACTGGATGAATTTTAAGTGACATAAATCTGTATATTTGAAAAAGTGCTTCCAGTATAAAGTCAGGCAAATAAAATGTGGCTTAGTCGGGAAAAAACAAAACAAAACAGAAAAACAAACAGGGTACAAATCTCCCAGGTAGTCCAGAACTGGACATTTAAGTAGTATACTAAACTTACTGAAAAGGAACTTGGTTATTTGATATTTGATCATGTAGGGTTTTTGTTGGTTTTTGAAAGAATCTCACTATGATCCACTCTGACTTTGAATTGGCAATTTTCCCACCTCAGCCTCCGAAGAGCTGGCATTGCAGGCATGCACCGCCATGCCTGACAACCTTAATTTTATGAACACTGCATCATTTGGTGGCCCTCACACCTTCTTTTCATTAGCATCTAGCTCTGTGATTCTTATTCAAGAAGAAACTGCACTAAATCTGAACCAAGGTTATATTTTCTTGGGCCTTTTTATGGAATCCTGGGTGCACATATGTTTCCATGCACATGCATGAAGGGACCCCCACACACACACACACACAAGAGAGCTAGAGAACCTGTACATCCAAGTTTAAGAATGGTGGAGAACAGAGAGGATGAGAGCAGCTCACCTTCACACAGGTAGTGCAGAACTCAGACTTGACTGTGCTCTTCAGATTGCAGGCTCCAGGCCTCCTCCCAGTAGTGTCGTTTACACGGGCTACACACTTGGCAAGGGCAAATGTGTCTTAGGTATAGATGAAAAGAATCTTAAAAATCCTGTGATGCAGTGAAGTTATTCATGTGATCTACAGGACTTAAAATTGGAGCGTGTTTCTCATTTCCTTTTGTTGCTTTGAGGAATGCCTAATACATTCTCATTTTATTTCTCTCTTTTCCTCAACCCCAGCATATCAATAATGACCATATTCACGGAGAGAAGAAGGAGTTTGTGTGCCGTTGGCTTGATTGCTCAAGAGAGCAAAAACCCTTCAAAGCCCAGTACATGCTAGTAGTGCATATGAGAAGACACACGGGCGAGAAGCCCCATAAATGCACTGTGAGTACACACCTGGGTGAGCTCAGTGTCCCCTCACCATGGCCAATGTGCTGCTTCCCTGTGGGTCTCTCCTCATTTTATGTTGTGTATGCCAAGGACTCCAGCTCAGGAGAGGGTAGTTGGGTGGTGGTGAGAAGAGAGATGGAGCATTATCTGGGGAAAGTGCCTTGGTTTTTGACCTTTAGAAAGGCCTCCTCTGCAGAGTCCCAAGCGGGCAGAAGGTGACTGGGCATGAACGCTTGGCCACTGTGTCTGCCCTTAGTCCCACTACTCAACACACCACAAATCTCAGACAACAAAGGGAGGTACCAGTTTCCCCACTTAAAGAGTTGAGGTTGACTTTTTAAATTTTTATTTTATTTGTTGTTAGTGTGTGTGTATGTACCTGATGGGGAAGATCGGAGGACAATTTTGTGGAGTTACTTTCCTCCTTGCACCTTTATAGGGGTTCCAGGGCTCAAACTCTGTTGGTTAGACTTTCACAGCATATACTTTCCCCACTGAGCCATCCTGCCAGCTCTAAGTTTAGCATCCGTAATTAAAAATAAAATTAAAAATTCTGAGTTGAGGATGTAACTCATAGGAAGGGCACTTAACTACCATACATAAGGCCCTAGGTTTGAGCCCCAGCAACTCACAAAAAAGCTCTGAAATCTGGACATCTGAGTGCTGACAAAAGCCGTGGGGGTCTGACCTTTGTGATCAGTTGGAGTCACAATGCAGGTGCAATGAAAACTAGAAAACGACTGTCAAGCTATGAGTATACAGTGTATATGACACGGAGAAGAGCTTCTTGTTTAGTCCAGGATTCTATCTCCCTTATTTGTTATGATGTATATGTAAATATTCTTAAATCCAAGAAAATCATACCACTCCTGATTCCAGGCCCTTTGGGTGAGGCATCCTCAGCTGTCCCTGGCTGTACTTTCCTCACTCTGTGCTCAGTCTCCAAGACAGAGTAGAGTGTTTATCTTGGGAGCAGACTGGGGCTGCCTGCCTGGGCTGGGGCTACCATGAAACTGCACTCTCTCCCAAGAGGCACCCAAGAACTGCCCTCGTACTTTACATCTTAAAGACCCTTTACAAACATGATCAAATTCCATGGCTTTGTATGGACACAAAGCCATATTAATGAACTTTGTGCTGAATCTGAAATCAGTGGGAATTGGAAGGGATCAATGAGCAGATAATGAAATTCATTGTCCACATTGAGCTGTCTATTAAAAAAAATAAGAGGGGGGGGAACCCTTCAGGACTTTTACAGGCACTAACAAAGCTTTATCTTCAACTGCCCCCAAGCCACATCTGAATCCCTGTAAATGCAGAGTTTAGTGGAGTTTTTGTTCCAGGGTTTTGCAAAGCTGCTGACCCTTGAAAGGTCAAGTTTTTATCCACTTGGAGAGAGGGTAGAGTTTAAGCTGCAGCTGCTATTGTGTGGAGTGGTCCAGATTTACCTGTTGTCCTCAGTTTGAAGGTTGCACAAAAGCCTACTCGAGACTAGAAAACCTGAAAACGCACTTGAGGTCTCACACTGGGGAGAAGCCATACGTCTGTGAGCATGAGGGCTGCAACAAGGCTTTCTCCAATGCCTCAGACCGCGCCAAGCACCAGAACAGAACGCATTCCAATGAGGTAAGCCTGGATCCCAAGCCCCAGGGCAGAAACAAAGAGGCCTCCTGGGGAATGAGCATGGTAAAGTAGGCAGGGTCTCTTTCCTTTTCCCTGGACTGTTGCCAGTGTGAGCAGGGTCTGGCCCTGCAGGTGAAGGTTTGGGACCAGGTTGGGCCCTGTTTGGAGAGTAATACAGATGAAGAGGAAGTTCTCTAAAATCCCTGTTGAACTTTGTCTCATGTTGTTCAGAACTGCCATCTACTGGCCAGACAGTAGCAGCATTTAACTTGGAATTTGGTCCACTTGCTCTCCAGATCAACATGAATCCATGCAGAGGAGAACCCTGTATGAACACAGAAGCAGCACATGGGCATGCAGCACCACACTGCTAAAAGCAGCTGCTTTTATTTGCTTTCCTGGAGAAAGTGGTGCCGTCAAATCCATTAATTCTGAAATTACTTTTATGGAGCAAACAGGTTAAAGGCAATTTCCATACGTTCTGGTTTCCCAAGGTTCTTGGAAGATAGTGTTAGAAACCCATTCAATATTTAAGTCAGTTATTCAGGATAATAATATAATGATCAGAGCTTCATCATAGCATATGATTCATGCTGAGTTGCAGTTGTTTGGATGACTATCCTCCAAATTACTTGTAAGTTTAAGAATGAAAATGATTCTGTAATAAAATTGCTAAGTTTTGAGACACATCTGCCTGCAGATCTCTAGCTTCTCCTTGGAAGTCCAGCCCAAGATTTCTAGATTTCTAGAAGTTGGCACCTCTATAAATCTAAGAAAAGCTCAAAGATTCACAAGACTCCCTTCATTTGAGATGGAAATGAGATAGTTAACAGTGCGTAGTTCAGCTGTGCAAGGTGTGAAATAGGTTAGAGAAGGAGAAAGACTTCAGGGTTGCTATTATGACCTCCACAGATACTGGTTAGCCTCACTTATAATCTTGTAGCTAGAGAGCTGAAGAGAGAACATCTGGTCTAAACCAAATGGAGCTTTTTGTTCAGGGTCCATCTCTCTGGCTCTAAGGCAGAAGAGATGTCTTCACCAAGCTTTGTTTTGACCTAAATAATATAGCAAAACTTCCCATAACACAATCATCCACACTGTTCAAAAAGTATATTCAGACCTGATCACACTTGAAAGTCACGCTTGCAGGTCCACAGACACCAGCCTTTTAGAAAATGTCATGGTGTGCTGAGGAAGTGCAAGTCATTTTGAATCACCTGTTATTGGGAAACATCAGGGTAGAAGTCACATTCCACTTTTTCTTTTAAAAGTATTTTTTCTGTGGAGTGTAGCTGTGGTATCATCTGTTACCCTTGTTTTGCATATTTTAGAGTCTAGAATGGACAAATCCTACAGATCCAGCAGATTAGTGTTTGGCAGCAGCACCCCAGGAATAGGGGTGTTCCTGGTACTTTGGAGTGATGAAAACGTTCTGGAATTAGATAGTGTTGATGGCTGTAGATGAAAAATGTACTGAGTGGCGCCGAATTGTATAGTTTTAAGGTTATATTTCTGTGTTAACTGTATCTCAATTTCAATTTTATGGAGTTTGAACAACTTCTGTTGGAATTTAGCTACATTTCATATACTTTAGTATAAGAAGGCATTCATTCCTATAAGAGCTTAGACCAGCCTCTCCTAGTGTAGAAAAATTTGAGCAGTGGCTATATTGAGACAGGTAATGCATGCAAAAGCTACTTACTAAGCTTTTTATCTTTTATGAACTTAAAGTATATATACATGTCTGTTTGCTTTAGGGGTGTTACAGTTATTTTGTCCTGTGAGGTAAGCAGTGCAATATTATGTGAGTTAAATGTCTCATGACACTGGAAGGTATCCCAGTCAATAATGTTATATGTTTGTGACTAAAAATTAATGATGTGCTATTCCCCAGGTTAGTCACAAACGTGTAAATAATTTTTGTCTATTCTGCATGTAAGGTTTTGGCTTTGAGTATGAAAAGCTGGATAGTTTCGAACACACCAAAATTCAGTTTATTCTGGAAATCCAGGGTTTTGTAATCAGCCCACCCTAGATAACTGCTGCTACTCACTTTAGTTTATTTGCTCTCCTATTTACACATTTGCTTTTTCACTATGCAAATACAGATAGCTGGTTATATGCCAGCCTTTTTGCTGTGCTAGATGTAACAAAGACTTCAGTGGGGAAGATCAGGAAGAGAGTAATTGCAATGCAGAACAGCCATTATGACACTTCTCTGTCCATGAGTGTATCCTGTGCCTTGAAGGTGCCTGGGCTGTAGAGTAGCCTCTGACAGGACACCCCACGCACCATCATGCATGTTCCTCCCAGAATGGCCACAGGACACCCCACGCACCATCATGCATGTTCCTCCCAGAATGGCCACTGAGCATGTTTCCTTGACACGTGGTTTCCTTTCTCCCTCTTAAGAGTATCTACTGTGTCAGTGCCCAAGCTGCCCTTATAGTCCTGACCTCTCATTTCCAGAACTCTAAATAGAACCTTCCAGAAGCTTGTGCTGTACATTACCATGCTAAGATGGTCGAAGTGGTCCTGCTGTTAGAGCTTTGTCAAGGACAGTTCTTTTTAACATCTCCTTGTCTTCATTTTTATTCCTCAGAATTTAAACCTTTTTCAAAACCCAACTAAAATGCTTCTTACAACAAATCACCATTTATAGAGAGCTTACTATGGATGCCAGACACTTCATGGGTCCTATGAGCTGGGAATCTAACCCAGATATAGAAACTTACTACTTCACACTTCCCAGGATCATCCCAACTGGAAAATGAGCCCTCCTTTTTCCACATCTTTATGATTCACACCCAGTGCTGTAAATAATTGCATGATCTTATTTTTCCTACCAGAAAATAAGATTTTGTATACAAAATTCTCAGGTTACCTAAAGAATTTGATAGTCCTTGAGTTAAATCCTGCATTATGCATCTTAGTGTGCATGCAGTCTTGTGTGTAATAGGACTCATTCAATGTTTCTTAAAAAACTTAACTAGGAACAGTATCACAGCCCTGCAGTGCCAGTACCCAGGAGGCTGAGGCAGGAGACTCATGGGGTCAGGACTAGTCCGAGTTACATAGAAAGACATCTTTTTAAAAATGGATGAATTCTGTAGCTGGGAAAAAAAAATGTATGAACTTCTTTCCAGTAATAGCTGAATGTGTAGAGTCAAATGGTAACAATTATGCTATATATTCAAGACATGAATCCACAGCTCAGTAAGTTTGACAACATTTATCACAGTTGTATTTTATTGTTACCACTGATCACAACAAAACTTGAAGTCTAAGCTACATAATTGGGTTTATGTGCTTTATCTTAAAGCATGAATTTCTTGAACCCTATTCTTGTAGATTTTTGTTGATCAATAATGAATATGTGTTCATATGAAATGGTACACGGTTACAGGTGTGCTAGTGTGTGCTGCTGATCTTGAAAATCCTGGCTCTGATGAAAATCTGTGCCTTTTACACATCAACTGTGCCCTCATTTCCAGGCTAATCATAATAATCATATGCATATATTTATAGGAAGAATAACTTCCCATGTGTCATGTAGCCCCTCCTTGTGCTCGTTCTCTCCCTACACCCACACACCTGCCCCATGCACTCTGCTGATGGAATAGCCTGTCACATCCGTGCCCTGAGCAAGCACGGGGTCCATGTACAAACACTGCAAGGTAATGACACTAATCGTCAGAGCCATTCTTCTGTCCCTAATGCATGGAATTTGATGCTCTCATTTCATCATATATATGCTGGAAATCACAAAGGTCCTGAGTAGACATAATTTGTAGTTAATGGGAATCAATTCTCATTCGAAAGGAAAGTCTCTCAGGATAATTTTCAGAATCTTCACTTTCCTACATTAGGAAATTTCAGCATTTTAGGGTGCACTCAGTCTGTCCTTGGGCTTTTAGTGAAAAAGCATCTTTCAGACATATATTCTATAAGACAGGATTTTTTTTTAAGTATAAGAGATACATTATTTTAATCATGCTTTTTATGATGATTGCTTATGTACTAGCTCATCTTCTGGTACACAGAGGCATTCAGCAAGAGACTCACCCCCAAGACCCCTCCAGATACCAGACTCCGAGAATGCTCAATTCTCTTCTATAAATGATGTAGTATTTACATATGACCTCTCATATACTTTAAATTATCTCTAGATTACTTCTAACACCAATATCATGTAAAAGGTTGGTGTACTGTTTAGGGAATAATAATAGGAAAAAACTAACTGTTCGTGGTCACTGTGAATGTGAGTTTCAGAGTTTTCAGTCTGCTGTTGTTGAATCTGTAGGTGTACAACGCTTGGCTGTAGAGGGCTGACTTAACTCATACCAGCACTCACGCTCTTTTGGAAGTCAAGTAAACAAATCACCATTCTGATGCTAGTAATTAGCAAAGGGCAGCAGTTCTGTGATCTAAGCAAATATTTAGTTATAAGCATCCATGTACTTAGAACTGTATCAGGAAGCTTGATCACTGACTAAGGAAGAAAATGAAACTAGCATGAACTAATGCATAGGCTGGGAACTTGGGAGAAGAACACAGACCTGGAGTCCTGGTTCTCAGTGAACCATTTGCTGGCCCCGGAAGTGTATGATAAAGATTCCGGGACAGCCTCTAACAAGGCTATGGCTTTGGAGAACAGAGAGGTTCTGGGTATTTTGAGCACTGAATCCCACACAGTTATAATGCTACCCAAAGGAGCCTGAGTTAGCTTAACTCACAACATAAGAATAGCTCTGGGCACTTTTTAAATTATTTTTATGCCTATGTATAAATAGCACATTTGCAAAGCAGAGAGTCATATTTAATCTAGAACAAAGATAACTAAGGAATTTCTATACACAGAACCTTTCCGCAAGGTGTGTAGCTTTTTCCTAGTTTCCTCATCTTTGATGCCTCCTTCCATCATCACCATCATCAGCATTGAGTGTCATACTCCTCTCGCCCCCAGCATAAACTCTTCCAACCAGAAAGGCAGTGTAAATTCTTATCACTGACAGAGCTCTCTAAAGTAATTACTAAGATAGATTCTATGGGCACTGAGCACTATCAAGTAGCCTTACTAAGTCATTAGATCCTAGAGGTATTTGAATGTTGTAAAGTGTTTTTGAAAGAATTGGAACGAGCGACTGCAGGGGATGGTGGGGCTGGAGTATAATCACTTGCATAACCATCCATTGTCTCCTTTTGGTGACATTTCACAGAAACCATACGTATGCAAAATCCCAGGCTGCACTAAGCGTTACACAGACCCCAGCTCCCTCCGGAAACATGTGAAGACGGTACATGGCCCTGAGGCTCATGTCACCAAGAAGCAACGTGGGGACACACACCCTCGGCCTCCACCCCAGAGAGATTCCAGCAGCCACTCACAGTCTAGGTCCCCCGGCCGGCCAACTCAGGGAGCCCTTGGGGAGCAGAAGGAGCTGGGCAACACTACCTCAAAGCGGGAGGAATGCCTCCAGGTGAAGACAGTCAAGGCTGAGAAGCCTATGGTACGTCATTCACTCTCCTATTCTCCCAGAGCCTATGAGGCTCACTGAGAAGAGTCGTGGGCAGCATGTCAGGGAACAAGACTGCCCCCTCTTCACTGTATGTGACCACTCTTAATTTGAAGATCATGAACCCAGTGATTGGGATTGCTGGCTTGAAGTTGACCTGCCTATAATAACTCTGTTAGAAAGAGCTACTAAGTTTCCTGCCTGACTTAAAATTGATCCAGGGCTGCAGCACTTGTGACTGAGACATGGCTGTCCATCTCTTCTCTGTAGCTACTCTGTAGACTATCATTGAGTCTTTCCACAAACTTTTTTCTGTCATCTGTGCCCTGGTGACCCCAAGATAAACAAGGTAAAGCCATATTCTTCAGGAGCTTACAGTGCAGTGGAATAGAGAGATTTAAAAAAGAAATACAACCCCTCCTGGTAATGGAGCTTAAGCACAATTCTGGGAGGAGTATTTAAGAGACAGAGAACTGCCAATGTGCTCTGAGGACAGCAGCTGTGAGAATGGGATTCAGCACTCAGACAAGGGAAGAGCTTGAGGGCAGAGGGCAGGAGGAGAGGTACCAGCTAGGGGACTAGGGCATGAGTCAGAGCAGAAGGGGCAAGCAGACGGGGAAGAGGGCAAGGACAGGATTAGCCAGTGACGGGGCTGACTTTTAGAAATAACAGCTCCAGTATCAGACTAGTGATTGGGGGAACTGGAGACTGTCTGCATGTGTGCCTGAACCCGTGACATCTCCCACTGCTTAAAAAGGAACTGGGAGAAATAAAATGTCTAGCAATTTGGCTTATGACAAATGAGATGTCTTAGTATGTGAATGTTGCATAAATTAAGTATAAGAAATAGCACTAAAAGAGATGAAGGATGAGGCCCATATTTACAGGTGAGGACATAGAAGCTCCTGAGGTTAATGATGTAACCACATCTCCACAGCGTGTGTGTGTGTGTGTCTGTGTGTGCGCGCACACGTTTAAATACAGCTAGGTACCTCCATAGACGTTTATTAATGGACATTAAGTTACATTTCTAATATTCTTTCTTTTAAAAGTCTTTAATTTGGTCATCATGCTAGGAATTAAATTCTTTCTCTTTTTTCTTATTAATGCAACACCTCTTCTGTCTAATGCTCCTAAGTGTCTTGCTCTCACTTCTAAGGACAGTGGGTAATAAGGTGAGGGAATTTTGCCTTCTCTGTTCTTTTTCTTGTTTTCATTCTAGTATGAAACTTCTTTCCCATTTCATTTTTATTTTTTTTATGGCTCTGTGATATCTTTGTAGTGAACATCACTCAACTGTATTTCAAATGTAGAACCAATATGTTTTGAACATGTCAGCATGTGAAAAATGTGAAGTTAGATGATGAAACTCATTGTTTTATTTGCCTAGGTTCTCATAATGAATCACCTGGGACAACCAAGCAGATGTTCCAAAAAATATTTCATTGCTGTCCTGACTAATAGAAATTCAAGTGTCAACTAGACATGGACCACTGTGAGGAGACCTAGATTAATTTGTTGTTAGCAACTTAACCTGTACTTAATTGTCTAAGCACATGTAAGCAGTTTTCTAATTCTAAGCTCCTATGCCTTCTCACGTGCTCTGTGGAAGGATGTGTACATACGTTCTGATTGGACAGTTGAAGAATGAAAGACGACCAAACCAACGCTCTCAGAACACCTAGTTTCTCAGGAAGAAGCTGTTGGTCTCGTAACTCGACTTTGCTAGGAAAATAATTAAGGATTTACATACTCATGATCAGATTTGTGTATCTTCCTTTGCTCTGCTTGGTTGCCCAGGATGAAGTTATTGTATCATGCAGTCCTTACTAAGAAAGTATTCATTTGCTTGGATTTATATCCTGTGAGAGTAAATAAAGCAAACAGTTTCCCCAGAGAGACTTTGCTCTTCAAAAGCCTTCTTGACAGCATTGTTCATCCCACCTGAGGTTAGCGGAGCCCCTGAGTAAGTGCAGTTATCTCTCCTGAGGAACTTTCTCTTTCACCTGCTGTTAGTGGCTCTAGTTTTTATAGGAACCTTGAGGAGGGTGTTGTAGAGGCAAGAAAATAGCCTCCTTAGGAATCTAAACATTATGACTCTGGGCAGTCACTGAACGTCTCTGAACATCACTTGTCATTACAAAGGGGATGTGACTTCATCAGTCTGCACCCCTGCAGCTTGAGATGGGTGGGTCATGTGTGAGGACTGTCCTGTGCACTCTAGGTCCCTTCACATAGTCCTTCCAGACAGTGAGATGGTCAGGCTCTCCACCTACTATCCCAGGAGCCCTGGTATGGAGGAGGTGATGCTTTTCTTGATAAACTAATTGGCTGCATTAAGTTCCCATTAGTTGCAGAGTTTTCTTTCACTGTGTACTTGCTTGAGATCAGGAGAACATTTCCCAGTTCCACTAGGAGGAAAACACAGTCGTTCTGCAGACTCAGGATGCCTATGCATTGCAGCCTTTCTTCCCTTCCGAGTGTGCAGGACCAAAGCAGTTGATGCTTTACCTCTGCAGCTGCTTTGACATGTCCTGCTCAAGATTGTACTACAACAGGAAAGGACACAAGAGTTTGGGACTCATCCTTGAATAGCCTAGACCAGTGCTTGTTGATGAGGAGGTAGCGTGTTCTATGGAGAATGTCCTTTGTGTATGTTATAGCCTAACACAAAGAACCCCAAGACTGAAGCCACTTGGAATGACGATTACTAAAGCCTTTTAAGCTAGTGCCCATTACCAGGTCTTTTTTTTATAGTTGGTTGCTCTTTGGGCTTTACATTAGTTTCCAATAACAAGCCTTACGAATTGTTCCCATTCTAAAGATAAAGAAACAGAGATGGAGAGTAGTTAATGTACCCAAAGAATAAAGTCCTGGAGGTGGGATTGAAAATGAGGAAATATCTGCACAGCTGGCTTTGGAACAGGGTCCCGTGGCTGATACTAGGATCACACTACATCTAGCATACTCTGTCATCTGTTGCTCCCCATGTACACCAGCCTGTGGGCCATTATCATTTTGGCTAAAACACCTGCCTCCATCCACCAGCATATAGTTTTTCTTCTCGTTCAGCCTGCTGACAACTCAAAGGTCTTGACTTGCATGAGCTGTCATTTTCAGCCCCCTTTCCTTTACCCTTCCTCATATCATTTTGTTCCTTTGTTCTTGGCCCCAGCAGACATCTCAGCCAAGCCCTGGTGGTCAGTCTTCATGCAGCAGCCAACAGTCCCCCATCAGCAACTATTCCAACAGTGGGCTCGAGCTTCCTCTGAGCGACGGAAGTAGTATAGCAGACCTCAGTGCCATTGATGAAACCCCAGTCATGGACTCGACCATTTCCACGGCAACCACAGCCCTTGCTTTGCAAGCCAGGAGAAACCCAGCAGGGACCAAATGGATGGAGCACATCAAACTAGAAAGGTTAAAACAAGTGAATGGAATGTTTCCACGATTGAACCCCATTCTACCCTCCAAAGCCCCTGCGGTGTCTCCTCTCATAGGAAATGGTGAGTCCCTCATCAGACCACTTGTCTATCTGCACACGGGTGTTTCTTTTCTTTTTAAGTGTGGCCAGAACATTGTAAAAGGAACTAGAGCCTCTGGTTTTATATTTGTTAGTGTCTCCACAGATTCTGAGATTATGCCATAGCCTACCCATGCTGATGTAGAACCAACTGAGATACTTCTCTGGAGGGTCCATTTTTAAAAAAATAATAACAGAATAATACCTGGGAGAAAAAAAACCTAAAAAACTCAGTTTCTGACAGAAATCATAGCTCTTCCAACAAGATGCCAGCAGTAGATGGATTTGTGGCTAGCATACTGACTCTAGTTTCCAAAGTCTAAACCCAAGAGACTTTTACTTGTATATGAAATTCAAGAAAAGGCAAGGGTCCTTTAGAAAAACTGCTTATCCACACCGTTTTAAGGCACCCTCAACTTCCTATCTCTCCCCTCCCTCTTTTTCCTTCCAGGTACTCAGTCCAATACCAACCACAGTTCAGGCGGGCCCGGGACTCTTCTCCCGAGCAAAAACGACCTCTCTGGGGTAGACCTCACCATGCTGAACACACTCGGCAGGAGGGACAGCAGCACCAGCACCATCAGCTCTGCCTATCTGAGTAGCCGCAGATCCTCTGGGATCTCCCCCTGCTTCTCCAGCCGCAGGTCCAGCGAGGCATCACAGGCTGAAGGGCGACCCCAGAACGTGAGTGTGGCGGACTCCTATGATCCCATCTCCACAGATGCCTCCCGCAGGTCCAGCGAGGCCAGCCAGGGTGATGGTCTACCCAGCCTGCTCAGCCTTACACCTGCACAGCAGTACCGCCTCAAGGCCAAATATGCTGCGGCCACTGGTGGCCCACCACCCACACCTCTGCCTCACATGGAGCGGCTGAGCCTGAAGACCAGGGTGGCTCTGCTCGGGGATGGCAGGGAGTCAGGGGTGACCCTACCACCAGTCCACCCTCCCCGGAGATGCAGCGATGGGGGAGGCCACAGTTATAGTCGGCGCCATTTGCTGCCTCGTGATGCACTGGGGAACAGCATGAGGAGAGCCAGTGACCCTGTGAGGACAGTCTCAGAGAACCTGTCACTTCCCAGGGTTCAGCGCTTCAGCAGCCTCAACAACTTCAGTCCTCCGGGTTTGCCTCCACCAATGGAAAAGCATAACTTAGTTCTGCAAAATTATACCCGACCAGAGGGCAGCCAACCCCGGCACTTCCAGACATCACCTTGTCCCCCCAGCATAACAGAGAATGTTGCCCTGGAATCTCTGACTGTGGATGCTGATGCCAATCTGAACGATGAGGATTTCCTGCCAGATGATGTGGTACAGTATTTAAATTCCCAGAACCAAGCAGGGTATGGACAGCACTTACAGAGTGCCATCTTGGAGGATAACAAAGTAACTCATGGGCCAGAGGACTTGGACTTGCCTGGGCTGCCAGACAGCCATGTTGGTCAACACTATCAGTCTCTGGAGCAGCCCTGCTCCGAAGGCAGCAAAACTGACTTGCCCATTCAGTGGAATGAAGTCAGTTCCGGAAGCTCTGACTTGTCTTCATCCAAGGTGAAATGTGGCCAGCGTTCTACCCTGCAGCAGGCCCGAGCCTTTGGCTTATACAACAACATGATGGTACAGCAACAGAATCCATGGAGGGGTGGGACTGGCCCACCTGGGGGATATCAGACCCTTGTAGAGAACAGCAGTGCCTACGGTGGCCCAGAGCACTTGGCAGTCCACAGTGGAGATGGGCCTGGCCCCAGTGGAAATTCCTTCCATGAACAGCCCTATAAGACCCAGCAGTATGGGAACTATCTCAACAGGCAGCCGCTCACTTCCAGTGCACTGGACAGTGCCTGTGGGGCTGGTATTCAAGGGTCCAAGCTGAAAAGCACCACCATGCAAGGGAGCAGGGGTCTGATGGATTTTGGCTTGTCAGTAGCACCAAATGAGTTAGCTAGCAACATGGTGAATAGCCTACAAATGCAAGACCCAATGGGACAGGGGTACATTGCTCATCAGCTACTCGGTGACAGCATGCAGCACCAGGGGTCAGGCCGCCCTGGTCAGCAGATACTAGGGCAGGCCAGTACTACCTCACAAATCAACATCTATCAAGGGACAGACAGCTCCCTGCCAGGGACTCAGGGCAGTGGCAGCCAGCCATCAAGCATGGCAGTTGTCAGGGGTTACCAGCCATGTGCCAACTATGGGGGCAGCAGGCGCCAAGCCATGCCGAGGGGTAGCCTCACTCTGCCACAAGGACAGCTTGGTGACACGAGTCAGACCTATAGGGTGACCAGCATCAAGATGGAGACGCGAGGGCAGCCCCAACAGCTCTGCTCTAACACGCAGAATTACTCCGGTCAGTTCTATGACCCAACAATGGGCTTCAGTCAGCAAGACAGGAAAGCTGCTTCGTTCTCTATTTCAGATGCCAACTGCCCGCTCCAGGGGAATGATGCTGACAACTCCGAGTTACTTTCTCCAGGTGCTAACCAAGTGACAAGCACAGTTGACAGCTTTGACAGCCATGACCTAGAAGGCGTGCAGATTGATTTTGATGCCATCATAGATGACGGGGACCATACCAGCCTGATGTCAGGGGCCTTGAGCCCAAGTATCATTCAGAACCTTTCCCACAGCTCCTCCCGCCTCACCACACCACGAGTGTCCCTCCCATTCCCGTCCCTGTCAGTGAGCACCACCAACATGGCTATCGGGGATATGAGTTCTTTGCTGACCTCCCTTGCAGAAGAAAGCAAATTCCTTGCTGTTATGCAATAGGTATTAGGCAAGAAGGACGCAAATAGACGTAAAACTTTAGGAATTGAAAGATTGAACTGACTCACTCTGTTTGGGGCTGTTTTTTAAGTTGTGTATGTATTTTAGCAATCTCATCTCACTTAACTGGGATGTGTTTCAAGTATATTCCTTTTATGGAAAAGGACTCTGAAAAACCCTAAGGTATTCTAGGGAGAAACTGTCTTCCATTTCAGTTTTGAATCAGTATTGTGACACCCAAATCACCCTCTTTTCTTTTTTTTGACCTGTAAGCTCGCCCCCTTCTTAGTAAACCAATGTAAATGTGTGGTGCGCATGTTCTTTCTCTGAGAAGAGAAGTCATCAAATTAAAGTATTTGACATGCTTCTCTGCTACTCCAAGGAAATAAGAATTGATGTGCTTGTGACCAAGGGGTTACAGGGCCAGCCTTTAAAAATCTTCCTTTACAATGCTCAGTGTTTCATGTGTGTGCGCACGTGTGTGTGTGTGTGTGTGTGTGTGTGTGTGTGTGTGTGTGTGTTCCCACACCACACTGAGTACAAGAGTCAGAATATGAATAGTGAGTTTAAGGATCTTTTGTAGCGTAAATAGCAGATTTTTTTTATGTGTTCCCCACCTTAATTCAATTCAGGGCATACTCTCAACAACTGTACAAAAGTGAAACCTGGGGCTCTTACAGATAAGTTTGCTCACAGTTTGGGGGCTTTAAGTTCTTTGTTCTTCTACACCCAGTGGATATGTCTACATGGTCAGTTCTCAGTTCTTTGCTGTCTTGCCACCTTTATGAACATCAGTGCTGATCAGCACTGCAGTGAGGGACAGGCTGTTGATGATCTCAAACATGATGCTACTTTTAGCTGTTCTGGACAGAAGTTAGAAGAATTATAGAATGAAGCAACTGGGTAGAATTAGTTTGGAGAATATTTGTGGGTTTGCTATACTTGTTATTAGTCCTACCTCTTGCCCTATTATCACAGGAAACAATTGATTATATGTAGCTCTAAATATATAGGTTTTTAACCCCACAACTGGCTGTATCATTAACATTTACATTAACAAAACTCATATGCATTGACATTGGCAATAAATTGCTTTAGTGCTTTTAGCATTTGCAAGCATAAAAGAAGATACGAGTAACCGTATAGGTTCCAAGTTCAGTTAGTCCTTAACCATGGGCTCCTGACAATGCTTTCGGTTTAGACTGAAATACTCAAAGATTTACAAAGTACAGCTATTCCCCACATGCAGTAGACACATAAGTCACACTGTGTGTGCACAGAGCACATAGATTATCCACCACTTTACTTTTCAAATTATATAAATGATTAAAATGTTAACCCCATCAGCTCCTGAAGTTGAGTTTATCCAAAGTGATTAATGGCGCAGTTGTGTGGCTTTTCCTCTTAAACCTTGCCATTTCAATCAGGAGTAGAAAGACAAAAATGAAGTGTTTGTGAATAGGAAGACTGGGGCGGCCAATTTTGCTCATGTTTGTTTTCTCTGATTCAGACCACAAATTTCAGCATGGAGGAAACTTTGCCATTTTGGATTTTGTGGCTAAGACTGTTGGATTTGCTTTCAAGTAGATGTTCCCCAAACCAGTATAGTGATGAGCCGTTCACACCATGAAGCCATCTCCCAGGGAGCTCCTTGTAAATCAGAGGACCGCCAGCCCTCAAGCAAGAGTAAACTCTTGTAGTTTTCACCTGAAAAGCAAGCAAGGCTTGGCTGCATTCCCTGAATTTCATTCCTCCATGATTTTTACAACCTCTGGCCTGGGCCTTACCTGGCATGTCTGATGGTTTGGACCAATCTCTTTTGTAGTCTTGATTTCAAAACATGTGGTTCAGGGTTGTCCACTCCTGACTGCACTCTCCTCCTCTGACAGAAACCTTTCTGGGTAGAATCCTTGAGTGTGACTCACACTTTTCAACTGCTGTGATTTTCCCCATCAGCTATCGTTCCTGAAGAGAGGGACGGTAAACGGACCAGGACTGCCACCATCTTACCGTCTCCTTTTCCTTCTTTAATTTTTTTCATTTTCATCTTTGCTTTCTGGGCTGCTGCCTTTAGGTCTGTGGATGGATGTTTGGCTCAATATGGCTTTTCTCAAAATGGTAATTTCAAGGGATGCTAGAAAAGACAGAGGTGGGAAAAAGTATACTGTTCCAGGATTTCAGTGCCCTGTCAGGATAGTCCAAGGGGGTGAAGGCCATTAGTCACTTACAACCATCCTGTGAAGCATGAGTTTTCTGTAGGCTTGGCATTTAATCCTGTCAAGGAACCCCCACCACCACCATCTGCAACTTCTTCCCATTCTCTAGCCATTGCATTTAGGAGAGACAGCATGGGCTCCTACTACCCTTTCCTCTTTACTAAAAAGCACAGGCTCATACATGGTACTCTTGTTTAATGTATGTGTTAAGCTTGGTTTTGTTTTTCACACTATTTTTATTTTCTAGAGAATGACTAAATCACCTCCTTGCTTCTCACACACTGGCTTGACTTTTTGAGCCACAGAGTTTTGATTCTTGCAATGTATGTGCCTTATTTTGTGTTACTCTTATCAACAAGAGGAACCAGTTGGTGTCACCCAGTCAGCACCCCCAGGCTGTGTGCCGGGCAGCCAGGACCAAGAAGCGAGTGCAAGATTGTGGCAGGCTGAGCTGCCTTGTAACCTGGTTTCTTTTGTTGTTTGAATCCGATAGGAGGATGTTCTCTTCTGACTAGTTACCCTTGTATATTCTGCAAATGTGTAAGATAAAATACAAGTTCCTTTTCTCCACCTTTTTTTTTTTTCAGATTTTTAAAGAGTAAAATGTGTAACCCTTTTTAAAAAGCAACACATGTAAATACATTTAAGTATTGTAGGCATAGAGTTGGGATGTGACAGCCCTGGGCCTTCCTTGGAAAAGCCCGTGGCCGCTCAGTGCTCAGGGGCTACCCCAAGCCCGGGGATAGCAGCCCAGACACACAAACTCTGCTGTGGCTTTCAGAACCACTTAGTCCTTTTGTAACAAAGAAAAAAAGAAAAAAAAAAATGTTTCTTACAATGTTAATAAAAAAAACTTTGTACTGAAATGTTTTATTGGGTTTTTTCTTTTTTGTTTTTTTTTTGTTTGTTTTGCTTTTTTTTTAATTTAACCCATACAAGACTAGAAGTTTTCTTTGGAAAACTCCCCAGCCTGTGTTTGGATCCATATATCTAAAACCACCACCACACATACACAAACTGATGGATCCATATATCTAAAACCACCACCACACATACACAAACTGATGGATCCATATATCTAAAACCACCACCACACATACACAAACTGATGGATCCATATATCTAAAACCACCACCACACATACACAAACTGAATAGACTTCTGAGACCCAAATTTCACATCCCCCAAAAAGAGGCCAAGAGTCAGGCACAGACTGCTAGTGATGGTGTAAGGGTGCACCCCACACAAGACTGGCTACATAGGCCATGTCAGACGTCCTTCCTGTGTTTAGTATGGTTTCTGCTTTGTCCAAGTCTATGAGGAAGGGTAATAACATGGTAATAGCTAACAACTTGTCCCTCTTTTCTATACAATCTTTTTATCTCAGAGAGACACTAGCATGTCAATAGAAAATCTGACATGATAGAGGCTTTTATGTGGCTTTTAATGACTGGCCTCAGTCAGAAATGTATTTGTCTCCTTTACCTTTTTACTGTCCACATTACCATCAGAGACTTCCCAAGTCTGATTTTTCCCCTCTTTGTCAGTAGTAGCACATCTTGTAAGCCACCAGCTCCAAATTGTTCCTGGGAAAGGTAACAGTACTGACTGTGGGTACCCAAGGCCACAGTTTATAGACACACCCCTTGCAAGCACTAGTGCACAGGAGCATCAGCAGGCCTTCCCGATTCACAGGGGAGAAATTCCAGTGATCCAAAACTGCTTTGCTTTCATAATTAGATTGCTCACAAAAGGTGTCCAGGTGAATTCAGGAAAAAAAGCATGAGTTTATACCTTGCCTAGGATATAAGTTGTCATCTCACAAAGGCGTGTGTCATGTATCAAGCCAAAATAAGAAGCGCAGCTAATGAAGAGAAGGCAGATGGAGTGCTGTGGGAAGAGGCATGTTCCCCAAATGCCCTTTTAAAGTCGCAGTGTGGATGGCTCCCAGCTTTGCTTGTGGAAGAAACGTGAAGCAAGCATGTAAAATGATGCAGCTACAATCTGTTTGGTGTTCTACCTTCTTTCAGTAGTTTGAGGACTCTAGAAACATATTACTCAATAATACAGCAGGATAATCCTAAAATAAGGTGGAAAAATAAGCCACAGCTATAAAATTTTATCCTCTCTTTCTCTGAGGTGTTCTGTTTGCTAATTTCCCTTCAGTTTTTCCTTGAAGTTTTTTATTCTTAATTGTCCACACCGTTCTTTCCCTTGATACTGGTATTAGAAATGATAGCAGAACCAATTGCTTCCAGTCCATACTCGCCTGCCAAAGCATTTTTGGTCCTGCAGGATTCCAACCTGTTCCTGAATTATCAGCCTCCTCACACACTACTCCATTCTCCCACAACACCCAGCAAGGAGTAGGTTATAATGTTTCCTCCCTTCATAGAACTTACCACCTGCAGGACAGAGAAAGGCGTAATCCATGAATTCAGTCTTACCTGGATATCTAGTATCCTGTTCACATTCCTTCAGAAGAGCTGGAGATGGGAGATGGATACAGCACAGTGTCTCTAAGCTTCCGGACAGTGGGAAAGACATGAGAATACCAAGACAGTAGGAAATTCAGGGAAGTTCAGCAGGGGAACTGCAGTGTTCTAAGGTGTACAAAGCACAGCCTCTTAAACTTGGTACTATTAACATTCTGGCTGGCTTTTAGAACACTGTTCTCTTATTGTATTGAGTAACCATCCATGTTGGGTATTCAGTAGATGCAGGTGGCATCCCTCCAAAAAGGACAACCAAACAAACCCACGCACTGCCACATGTCTCCTGGCATGTTGCTCCCAAGTTGAGACCCCTGGGTTATAGGATGAAAATGCAAGGAGGCATTCTACAGGCAGGGCTGCAGTCTCAGAGTAGGCCCCCATATGGGAGCCTTTGATCCGCAGGGCCAGATGACCAAAAGGTAAGAAAACCACTGCTGCTTGCGTCGGAAGAGATGGCTCAGCAGTTAAAAGCACTTGCTGCTGTTCCAGAGGACTTGAGTTCAGTTCCCAGCACCCATGTCAGGTGGCTTACAACCTCCTATAACTCCAGCTCCAGGGAGTTAACACCCTCTTCTGGCACCCATGGGTACACTCACCCACAAGCAAATATATTCAAACACGTATACAAAAGTAAAAAAATAAAATGAATCAGCCAAAAAAAGGCCATTGCTGGATACAGGAGTGGCATGAGAAGAGGACCAAGGAACACAGGAAGCCAGTCAGGCCCAGAGTGAGATAGAGCAGGAGAGGCAGGAAAGGAAGGAGCTGAATGTTAGGAGGCCAATGTAATCAGAAACAGTATCTGGGTCAAGAAAGCCACAGACCAAGTCACTGACTTAGAGCTAGGAGACCCCAGTGGACTGGTAGGAAACAGGAACCAGATCAGAGAAGTAAATGATATAACCCAAAGTGAACCTCTTCCAAGATGACATCCACTGGTAAGACAATATAGAGATACCTTGACCAGCCAAACAAAATGAAAGCCTGAGTGGCCTCTGAAAAGCACTTAGTCTCTGTAGTTACCACAGTGGAGAAATGCATAACTCAGGCTATGGTATAGAGTATTTCCTAAGGAGAGGAGAAGTTGCGGGGGAGGGGGGAGAGGCAGAAAGTTTCCTGTTGTGCTTGTTTCTGTTTCTCTCTCTCTCTCTCTCTCTCTACCGTGTCTCTGGGTTTGATTTAAATCTCTATTTCCCCTCTGCTTCTCTCTCTCTCTCTCTCTCTCTCTCTCTCTCTCTCTCTCTTTTTCCTTTTTCCTCTCTTTCCTCCTTTTCCTCTCTCTTTCCTCCTTATCTCTTGAAGGGACTTGACTGTTAATTAGCCAATGGCAGATAAAAGAGAGATTGCTTTTAAAATATCAGACCTACCAGGATCCCTAAGACGCAGTACCTGTCCCAGGCCATGGATCTGGCAGAGTCTAACAGATGTGCTGGGCTCTATACAGTGGAGGCATAGAATGCAAAGGCAACTTAGACTTGTGAAGATGGAGGACACAATGTGTCAGTAAGGCCACTGAACTTGAACTGGACCTTTGGAATGAACAGAGTCAGAATGGGATTGAAAGGGAGAAAAGAGCACGAAGCAGGATGAGGCTGACGTAAATATTCAAGTTACTGCAGAGTCTGGATAGTTTGAGTCAGGGCAAGCCTCGTTTATTTTGATCTCCTTAGGGAAAATTCTTTTACATTTCATCTGGTAATGATAGTGGAAGGTAGGTGAAGGGATACTGGCAAGGAACTGCTGGGGAGGCAGAGTGAAGGAGGGGCCCTTGACTCCTGGCAGGTAGGTACTGCCTTCCAAGCTGAGTTCTTCCCTGTAGGAAGGAGCAGGAGCAGCTGTGGGGCACCCACACCAGCCTTCCCTCCTGCTGCCTCCAGCCCCAGTGTGTGGTCAGTGCTGGGAAGAACCAGGACCGGAGCTGACTTTCCCCTATCACCAAGTCAGCAAGAAACCTCAGATACAATTCTGTTTCAAGGCCTGTAGGCCTTTTCCCACCTCACTAGGAAATTTCAAGGAAAAGGCAGACGATCTCCTCACTTCCCACCCTGCCACAGCTCTGTGGGGCTCGGTCCTAGAAGGGAGAGCTGATCTAGCCTGTGAACTAACCAAACAGGAAAGAGCAGCACCTTGGAGCAAGCCAGCCTTGCGGAGGCCTTGCCTGGGGCGCTGTTTTAGTTAAATGCTGAACAAGTTGACTTGTGGGGTTGGGGTAAGTACTTCCCACACTCTTCTATCTAATGGGACTTCCTTCTCAAGTACCAGCTAAAGATCCGCAAATCAGAAGCAGCTAAATCCTGATGACATCTTTGCTTTTGGAAAGGTCCAGACTCGGAGTGTGTGCGTCTAATGCAGTAGAAAGGGCATATTTTAGCAGGCACGGTCCTCGTGGTTCTGTTTCTGAGCCATTTAAACAAAA